ATCTCTATCTTCCCTCTGTCAATTGCTTAACTCAAAGAAACAAGCAACTAGAGTTGCTAGAATAGAAATAACTATATAAATAATCATACAGTTATTATAAATATTTACTAGTCAACTAATAGCATGTCCTCTGTTTCCCATCATTTTTCAGAAAAGCTGAGCATTCAAAACAGCAACTGAAGTCTAGAGAAGACTGAATGTACAGCATTAATACATTGTCTACGGTGTTTTACTGACTATACTTTTTTCTGATCTTAGAAATCTCTTATTTTGCTATATTGTCCTTATATTATCAATACTGTAACCATATCTTTAACATTCAAGGCACTGAAAGGATAGAAAAGAAACAAAGTCTGCTTCTACAGCTAAAAATCACAATGTAAAAATGTAAAGGAAAATAAGAAAAATCTGTATGTTTACATTAAAAATATCTTCTCTCTCAATATAAAACTACTTCTCCACTTAGCTTAATTCTTTCTGATATTATTGTAGAAGTGGGACTTGAGACAGGAACTGAAGGAGGACAGATTTTTTACATTAAGGCTACATGAAGGTCCTTAGCTTAAAGAACAGCAGAAACCATAACAAATACTGAAAAAGCATGAAGCATGAAGCCTATGGAGGCTGCCACAGAGAAGGTTTAACACAAGCACTATATGTTAAGTAAATCGAAATTCACAAAGCAGAGAGCTGACAGAATCAACAACTTCGGTTCAAAACTGAACACACACACAAAAAAATTAACACTGGAAGAGAAATACTGATAAATAATCGTAAGTGGTTGGACCTCCCTGTAATTCCTAACGAGAAGGCATCAACTTAAAATTATCTTCACCAACAGCACTATTTCCCCATTTTAAAACTCAAGAGAATGTTAAGAGCTGAAACATATGGAAACCTCCCTTAGTGTCAGAAATAACTATGTATGGGGAAGTGGTGCATCCCTCAGATGAAGAAACTCCAATCCTAATTACTCTGGGAGCTCTGTGTAAACAGCAAGTGGTTTTCTAAAATGACACCTTTACGTGGCTGTCCTTTTCCTAATTTAATTCTAAAGCCTTCATCATATCCCCCTGTAATCTGACTTTTTTTTCAACCTGTAAAACGTTTTGATTCAGATGTATGTAGTCTACATTTCCCATTTGTCACAGTAGTACTAGAGTAACAGCAGTATTTGCTTCAGCTCCTAGAGACAAAGGACAGCTGTTCTAGAGAAGACATTTGCAGAAGAGAGGTAGAGAGGTTAAAAAAGAATGTGTCATAAACACACATTAAAATGCTTGGCCTAAAAGGGAAGAATATTCTCTATTTTGAAAAAGTTAAAGATTGGAAAGTATATTATATATAAAGTAACAAGAGGGAAATGTATTTAATTCACTGAATTCCTGTTATATCCCAAATCATTTATGACTTATGGAACATATGACATACAATGCTGAGGAGCAGTAAGAAATAATTTGAGAAGCGTGCCTTGTGGCACCTATAATTAAAGTTGCTCAACACTTTCAGTTTTCAGTTCCCAACCATTAAATATTTGGTCTTTTATATAACTTTATGATTAAGTAATTGAGATATTAATTTCCTTCCATGTTCAAGAAGAAGGAACTAAAAATTGGCAGTACAGACACATTTTTGTCAAGGATGTGCTTTTACTGTTTACATTAAATTTGGCTATGCTGGAGAAGTCTCAATTCACATATGTTCAGAAGCGACTTGTTAGCATTTGACAGCTTTGCAAAAAAAATAGGCTTCTGTCCACAACTTTGAGAATCAGAATTTTTAGCTGCTGCCCCGCATCAAAGGTCGAGCTCGGATTGAGAGCAAGACAGGTTTTCCCAAGATGCTATCTGATAGTATCTAGAAAGCCAGACAGAAAAGGTGGAATTTTGACCCTGTTAAGTATGGGCATTATGATAATCCTTAATTAGGTGATCTAATATTTTTCTCCTGCACAATTCCTGCCCCATTCAGCAAACATCTCTTTCCATCTGCCTCAATGGGTGGTCCTGAATAAGCCTAATTTTGGCATCTAAATTCAGTCCTGACCTTTAAAAATATTTCAGTATAATTATTTGTATTGAAAAATGTAATAAGTTGTACATAAAAGTGGTAAGAAAAAAAAACCCAAAGCACTTTGTGCAGCAAATTCTCTGGACAATATCCACAACCATAATAAACATCCCTATAAAAACATTGTTAATTGGCATCTCATTAATAAGGTTCAGAGAAAGGTTGGGAACTGCCTAGCGATGCTGAGTGAACCTCCACCCCCTCCTCACACTTCAGGATGGTTCTTCTAGGGCAGGGATAAGATTCACCAACAAGAAAGAGCTCAAGGGCCTCTGGACTCTACTGAATAGGGATATTCCAAAGGGGAAATGGGAAACATCAGCCTCAGATAAACAGCACTTTTTAAAAAAAAAAAAAAAAAAGTAAGATTTTTGTTGTTTGTTAAGCTTGTACTATAAGGCTCCTACCAAATCTAAGTTAAGAGAAAGGAAGGACATAAGAGACTTTTGACATCTGTGGCCCTCTTGGTAAACAGATTAGCCAGTTTTAAAGCTGCCTCCTAAATGCAGAAGTCCTCACACTTTCCAGTTGCAGGTACTAAGACAGCAAGTGGGGAGTGGGGGTACAATAGGAACCCAACAAGCAAGGGGGACACAAAAGTCATTTGTCTCACTTGCAGGATTGGTGCTAGATAAATATTATTATTTGCTAAACTACTAACCTATTTTGAAACCAGGCTCTTTCTTGTAAGTCAAGATTTATTAGAATTACATTGCTTACATAGGACTTACACTAAATATACTTTTAGATCCTCACACATTATTTTTTTAAAAAAAAAGAAAGGAAAAAACCCCCCCACATTTTCACTGCGCACTCTCCAGGAGGAAAATTATGGTTTCACATTTTCAGCTCTACAGTTAATGCGATGTCAGCACCTCCATTGGACCTCGTTGTTCAACAGTTCATAAAAAGCTCACTCCAAGTCAAAACTTGGCATTCAGCGCCTCGGAAAAAAAGAAGTATCAAGAAGGGGAGAGAGAGGAAGAAAGAGGGAGAAAAAGAAAAAATCTGGCTGCTTTTCAGCTCCTTGAAGTACCTGAGCGGGAGGTTTATTTATGGGCTCCCACCCCGCACTACAACATGCAGCCCAACACGGCCTGGCCCGTACACTTGCCCCCGGTACTGTCCCGCCGCCTTCACCTCTTCGAGG